AGGACGGTTCGTCGGTCCGTTCGTGTATAGTAACCGTTTCGTTATTTATTTTATATATATATATATGTATATAATATATGTATATATATATATGTATATAATATATGTATATATATATATGTATATATATATATATATGTATATATATATGTGTGTGTGTATATATATATATATATTTATAGTATGTATGAACGGGTTTGATCTGTGCGTAGTTACGGTCTCCATTATGATCCGTTTACGTGTAGCCTCCTGTCTGCTTGCATGATATAGTAGTGTCCGCACCAACTACATATATCTCGTTAACGTTAACTACATATATCTCGTTAACGTTAACTAGATTGTATCTGCATGCTAACCCATCGTGCTATCCCGCACAATTGCCTTGTGACACCACAGCCAGGACTAACACCCGATGCGGCCCCCACTATCATCAAGAAGCCAACCAGCGGCACTAAATGCACAGCCGACTTCCCTGCACATCCTGTTAAGTATGTGAAATGTTAGTTACACGTTGTAATGGCTGGTTGAAGCTGTGAGCGCTTGCTATGTGACGCGTGTTCTTGCACATACAAAGATATTGATGTTTATGTGTTGCTGGATGGCTGGCTTATTCCTACTCATAAGTCATACAAAGCTAGCACGCCTGTGTTTGTATTTATATACATTTATATATATATATATCGGCATGACAGCAGTTGATAGTTCAGAGTATGCATCCGTATAATTGCATTCGTGCATACAAGTTGTGAATAGCCTTAACGTGCATGTATGTTGCGGTTCTCCCTTTGATACCAATCGGCCAATTCCTGTCACACTCCTATTTCTGGTGAGATATCTATGTACATCTCTCTGCTGCCTTTGACCTCTAATACGAAGGTCTCAAGAAGTATATCCTATCCGGTTGAAGCCTAAATGCCGGTCGCCTCTTCACCGTCACATGCATAACAGGATGAAAGAACTTTTTCCGGTCAGATTCACGCCTACTGTAAAAGGCACCACAACCGCACAGTCACTCAAAACAGACCGCAACGATCGCTGGCAGTGTCCCTCGTGCGCAAAGATGATGGTCAACAACCCCAAGGTGCATGGTAAGCTGTGTGTGCTCAACTGGCGCATATTGCTTTACTATTGGGTTACAAGAGCTTGTACGCACGTAGTACGTTGAATCATACTGTGGTATTGGGTTACAGTGACTTGCACGCACGTGGTGCGTTGGATCATACTGTGGTATTGGGTTACAGTGACTTGTACGCACGTAGTACGTTGGATCATACTGTGGTATTGGATTACAGAGACTTGTACGCACGTAGTACGTTGGATCATACTGTGGTATTGGGGCATAGTGAGTCATATGCACCTAGTGCATTGGCTGGTATGCCGTGTGTGCGTACGGGTCTTATCTTAATTCTTTGGGTGGAGTGACATATGCGCATCTGGCACTCTACTACACTTTCGAGATATGCGAGGCGTGTGTTGTATCGAGATGCATAAGTGTACTAGGGCTGGTAGTGATAATGTATTAGGACTGGTGAGAGCTTCCTGTACTGTCACTACACATGTAACTCTTGTCGGCAGTAGCGCAGATAGTCTTCTTGTGCGAGTCATTCACGCAATAGATAAACTTGAGATAATTAAACAACGCTTTGTCCCGATATGGATATATGTGTGTATATGCATGTGTATATGTATATGTATGTATATGTATATGTATATGTATATGTATATGTATATTTATATTTATATACATATTTATATAAAATATATACGTGTGTGTGTGTGTGTATGTGTGTGTGTATAAATATATCATAGCACACAGTTACAGCGTCGATCTTAACAGGCACACGCGTGTTATTCTGGCCGCCATCCACTCGCACCGTGCTCTAGCTCATACATGCGACTTCTTCTCCCCCCTCACACACATACACACACATACACACACACGAGCAGTGATCAGAAAGTGTGGGCATGTGATCTGCAACCACTGCGCAACTGAGTATGTGAAGAAAGATGCCACCTGTGGTGTCTGTTCCGGCCCAGCACCTGCACAGGATGTGATACCAATTCATATTGAAGGTACGCGTGGCGTCCAGACATCGGTTGAGCCCCTTGAACTAGTTAATTGTAGTGTTCCTTGAACTAGTTAATGTTGTAGTATTCCTTGAACTAGTTAATGTTGTAGTATTCCTTGAACTAGTTAATGTTGAAGTGTGCCTTGAACTAGTTAATGTTGTAGGGTTCCTTGAACTAGTTATTATTGTAATGTTGTCCCCACACTAATATCAGCGCATATACTTTTGCAGTGGCCTCTTGTCAACGCCGTTGCTAGTTGACTATTAGCTTATCCACTCATTTGGTCCAATTATGGTGTGCGAGCATTCAGTAGTGGTGTGTAGGGTTAATATCTGCGCTATAGGCTTGCATGGACTTCTTAGACGCCCGCCACAGTATAGCGCTATATACATATATATATATATATATATATATATTATATGCAAGATGTATACAGCAGACGATACGAGAAATCTACGAGACACTGGATCACGGTGATTCTTATCCATGTTTCACGTTGTTGCATATAGGTACCGGCTTTGCCGGCGGTGGAGGGAACATTGTGGCGACGACATACGGCCATTCAATGGGTTAAGTACTTGTTATCTGTAATCCGTTCGAAGGAGGCTATGTCAATTGGTCACGCCAAAATTGGGGCTTTATGAGGGCATCCGCGCCATTGTGCTTCGAGTGGTATAGCGTGAACCGTTATGGAGCCAGTACATGATCCGAGTGCACATGCAAAGTGTGATGATACTCATCCACAAGTGACACCTGATGCTCACTTGACACTTGATGCTCGCTTGATGTTGAGGATATATATATATATATAGATAGA